ATATAGTCGGACTTGAGTCCTGGAAATGGGAAGTACAATGCCTGCACTTTAAAGGAGGGTTTGGGATATTGGCAGTTTGGAGGGATATGTTGTGTATCTTTATATGTGTATGCTTCTAGACTGTTGTATTCTGAGCACCTCTGCAAAAAACAGTGATAATGTGTGAGTGTGGTGAAAGTGTTAAATGATGATAAAAGTATTTTCTTTTTGGGGGATTTTCTTTCTTTTTTGGGTCACCCTGCCTCGGTGGGAGACAGCCGACTTGTTGAAAAAAAAAAAATATATATATATATATTTTATATTATTTATTATATTTTATATTATATATATATGCATGTATTATATATATATATATATATATATATATATATATATATTTATATATATACATACATGTAAAATATATATTTTATATATATATATATATATATATTATATATATATTATATATATTAATATATATATTATATATATTTTATATATATTATATATATATATATATATATAAAATTTTTTTTTTTTTTTTTTTTTTTTTTTTTTTTTTTTTTTTTTTTTTTCAACAAGTCGGCCGACTCCCACCGAGGCAGGGTGACCCAAAAAAGAAAGAAAATCCCCAAAAAGAAAATACTTTCATCATCATTCAACACCCTCACCACACTCGCACACCACCACTGCCTTTGCAGAGGTGCCCAGAATACAACAGTCTAGAAGCATAACATATAAAGATACACAACATATCCCCCAAAACTGCCAATATCCCAAACCCCTCCTTTAAAGTGCAGGCATTGTACTTCCCATTTCCAGGACTCAAGTCCGACTATATGAAAATAACCGGTTTCCCTGAATCCCTTCACTAAATATTACCCTGCTCACACTCCAACAGATCGTCAGGTCCCAAGTACCATTCGTCTCCATTCATCCTATCTAACCGCTCACACACGCTTGCTGGAAGTCCAAGCCCCTTACCCACAAAACCTCCTTTACCCCCTCTCTCCAACCCCCTTTTGAGGACGACCCCTACCCCGCCTTCCTTCCCTATAGATTTATATGCTTTCCATGTCATTCTACTGTGATCCATTCTCTCTAAATGACCAAAACCACCTCAAAAACCCCTCTTCTGCCCCCTGACTAATACTTTTATTAACTCCACACCTTCTCCAATTTCCACACTCCGAATTTTCTGCATAATATTTACACCACACATTCCCTTAAACAGGACATCTCCGCTGCCTCCCAAACCCTCTCCTCGCTGCTGCATTTACCACCCAAGCTTCACACCATATAAGAGTGTTGGTACTACTATACTTTCATACATTCCCTTCTTTGCCTCCTTTGATAACGTTTATTGACTCCACATATACCTCAACGCACCACTCACCTTTTTTCCCTAAATCAATTCTATGATTAACCTCATCCTTCTTTAAATCCTCCGCCGACACGTCAATTTCCCAAGTATCTGAAAACATTCATTCTTCCATATCCTCCTCCCAATTTGATATCCATTTTTCTTTATCTAAATCATTTGACACCCTCATCACCTTACTCTTTTCTATTTTTCACTTTCAACTTTTACCTTTACACACATTCCCAAACTCATCCACTAACCTTTGCAATTTTTCTTTAGAATCTCCCATAAGCACAGTATCATCAGCAAAAAGTAACTGTTCAATTCCCCCCTTTGAATTTGATTTCCCCATAATTTAATCCCACCCTCTCCAAACACCCTAGCATTTTCTTCCTTTACAACCCCATCTATAAATTTTATTAAACAACCATGGTGACATTACACATCCCCGTCTAAGACCTACTTTTACCCGGGAAGTGTCTCCCTCTCTTCTACACACCCTAACTGAGCCTCACATCCTCATAAAAACTCTTTACAGCATTTAATAACTTACCACCCATTCCATATACTTGCAACATCTGCACATTGCTCCTCTATCCACTCTTTCATATGCCTTTTCTAAATCCATAAATGCAATAAAAACTTCCCTATCTTTATCTAAATACTGTTCACATATATGCTTCAATGTAAACACTGATCTACACATCCCCTACCCACTCTAAAAACCTCTTGCTCATCCGCAATCCTTTACATTCTGTCTTACCTCTAATTTTTTCAATTATAACCCTACCGTACACTTTTCCTGGTATACTCAGTAAGTATTCCTCTAAAATTTTTTACAGTCTTTTTTTGTCCCCCCCCCTTTATATAAAGGGACTATACATGCTCTCTGCCAATCCAGGTCCCTTTCCCCCTCTTTCATACATTTATTAAACAAAGTACCAACCACTCCAACACTATATCCCCCCCTGTTTTTTAACATTTCTGTCATGTTTCCCATCATTTCCCAGCTGCTTTACCCCCTTTCTTTTTACGTAATGCCTCACTACTCCCCCACATTTTACATTCTGCTCTTCTTCACTCCTAAAGATGGTATACCTCCCTGACCAGTGCATGAAATTACTGCCTCTGTTTCTTCCTTAACATTTAAAAGTTCCTCAAAATATTCTCGCCATCTACCAATACCTCCATCTCCCCACTACTAACTCCCCTACTCTGTTTTTAACTGAAAAATTTCCATATTTTCCCTAGGCTTTCTTAACTTGTTTAACTACTCCAAAATTTTTTTTTTTTTTTTCATTAAAATTTCTTGACAGGGGCCTCTCCCACTCTATATCTGCTCTCCTTTTGCACTCCTCTCACCACTCTCTTTACCTTTCTTTTACTCTCCATATACTCGGGCTCTTCTTATAACACTTCTGCTTTGTAAAAACCTCTCATAAGCTACCTTTTTCTCTTTTATCACACCCTTTACTTCATCATTCCACCAATCACTCCTCTTTCCTCCTGCCCCACCCTCCCATAACCACAAACTTCTGCCCCCCATTCTAATACTGCATTTTTAAAACTATTCCAACCCTCTTCAACCCCCCCATACTCATCTTTGCACTAGCCCACCTTTCTGCCAATAGTCGCTTATATCTCACCCCAAAATTCCTCCTCCCTTAGTTTTTTACACTTTCACCTCCCTTTTTACTTGTTGTTGCACCTTCCCCTTTTCCATCTACCTCTTACTTAAAATGTAGCTACAACTAAATAAGATCCGATATATCAGTTGCCCCTCTATAAACATGTACATCCTGGAGCCTACCCATCAACCTTTTATCCACCCCAAAACATAATCTAATAAACTACTTTCATTACGTGCACATCATTTCCTTGTTATATTTATTTATCCTCTTTTTCATAAAATATGTATTACTTATTACCAAATTTCTTTCTACACAAAAGCTCAATTAAAGGCTCCCCATTTACATTTTTCCCCTGGCACCCCAAATTTACCTACTACTCCTCCATAACATTTTTACCCACTTTAGCAAATTTTAAAATCCCAACCACCATTACTCTCACACTTGATTCAAAACTCCCCACGCATTCACTCAACATTTCCCAAAATCTCTCTCTCTCCTCTACACTTCTCTCTTCTCCAGGTGCATACACGCTTATTATAACCCACTTCACATCCCAAACTTTATTTTACTCCACTAATCCTTGAATTAATACATTTATAGTCCCTCTTTTCCTGCCATAGCTTATCCTTTTAACATTATTGCTACTCCTTCTTTAGCTCTAACTCTATTGAAACCCTGCCTAATCCCATTATTCCTCTCCACTGAAACTCTCCCACCCCCCTTTAGCTTGTTTCGCTTAAAGCCAGGACATCAGCTTCTTCTCATTAAAAACATCCACAATCATCTCTTTTTATCATCTGCACAACATCCACGCACATTCAGACTTCCCCTTTGACAATTTTTTTTTTTTTTTTTGTAATCTTTACAGGAAAAGGGGGGTTTTAGCCCATTTTCTATTAAAAACTTCTTTATGGAATCTAAAAAAAATTTGCCCCCAAATTTAATATGATTTTTAATTTTTTAAAGTAGAAGTTGAAAGTGAACTAGAAAAGATAACTTTATATGTGGTTTCCCTTTTTTTAAAATTGATATAAATGGGAGGAAATAAAAAAGAATAATGTTTCAAAACTTGGGGGGTTGCGGTCCCATATTTATAAATAATTTAAACATAAAATTTATTAGTGAAAAAGGTAGTTCCCCTTAGAAAAATGTTTTTTAATTCCAAAAAAAAAAACATATCTATTAAGGCAAAAAGGGAAAAATTTAATTTTTATATTTTACCCACGCTTTAAAAATGTTTAACTTGGTTAAATCCCCAGCGAATAACTTCCCCTAATTTCCTGTTTAACTTTGGTGTAAATATTATAAAAATTCAATTTATTTATCAAATTGAAATTAATAAAAGTTTTCGAGGGGATAAATTATTGATTTTTTGGTTTTTATTTAGAAAATGGAAACAATAGAAATACATTTTTTGGAAAGCCATAAAAATCTTTAGGAAAACACTATCTCCTTCCCCCCCCCCCCTTGAAAGGGTTGGAAAAGGGGGTAAAGGGTTTTTTGTGGGCCGGGGGGGCTTAACTTCCACAAGGTGGGGTTTGACGTATTAGATAATAATGAAGAAAAAAGTATTGATAAAAGGACTGTTGGAGTGTGACCAAAGGGGAAAATTTGTGAAGACATGCGAAACTTATATTTATAAAACGGGCTTGAATCCTAAATGGGGGTACAACCTCACTTAAGGGGGTTTTATATTGGGCAGTTTGGGGGGTTGTGTTATCTTTATATATATTTTAGATTTTATTTAATTAAAAAAATATAATTATTGTTTATAAATTTTAATATATATGAAAGTTTTTTTTTTTTTTTTTTTTTTTTTTCAACCTCGGCCTCTGGGAGCGGGCCCAGAAAAAAAAAAAAAAATATTTTTATATTATATATATATATATATATATATATATATATATATTTATATAATATATATATATTATTTTATATATATATATATATATATATATATATATATATATTATATACATTATATATATATATATATATATAAAATTAACATTTACTCCCAACAGAAAATTGCCTATTCCAAGACAGATTCTGACTTGATAGCAAAACAGAAGGGCACATATAAAGAGCGGGGAAGCAAACGAAAAGAGGAGGAGAAGAAGAAGAAAAAAGGAAAAGAGCCCAAGGGAACATCAGCAGCACCTGCCACAGGAGCAGCCAGTGTTGCAGGTTAGCACTCATTGTTTTCTCACCCCAAGACCAAAACACTGCATACTTCTACCTCACAGCACTAGAATGTAAAGCAGGCAACTTAACAGAAAAATCATATTCTTAACAGTATTACTGTGTATATTTTTAGTTTTCTGGATAATCAGTGAAAGCCTGTACAAAAAATGCATTTTAATAACCTGATTCTTGATAATAAAGTACTTTTTGAAGAATGTTTTAAGAAATTGAGTTTAATTAAAAAAAATAGAGGAGACATTAAGGCCAGAACATTGCATTTTTTAAGCTACTTTTAAAACTGATATACAGTGGACCCCGGTTAACGATATTTTTTCACTCCAGAAGTATGTTCAGGTGCCAGTACTGACCGAATTTGTTCCCATAAGGAATATTGTGAAGTAGATTAGTCCATTTCAGAGCCCCAAACATACACGTACAAACACACTTACATAAATACACTTACATAATTGGTAGCATTCGGAGGTGATCGTTAACCGGGGGTCCACTCTATTAGCCAAAATCTAACATCCTATTTCCAAATTAGAATAATGTTATATGGAAAAGCATGTGTTCATTTTTGCTAAATTTTAATTGTTACCTCTATTTATGGAGCCCATGGTATGACTGGTTAAACCAGTCCCGTGTTTTGTCTGTATGTAAAAATTTAGGAGGTTTGTGCTGTACAAATTGATCTCCCACACTATAAATAGTGTGGGAGTTCATACATTTCATTTTCAGTACAGTTGTACAGGTAATCCTCACTGAATGTACCTTTGTCATGTTTCCTTTATTCAAAATGGCCTAAATTTTTATCCATTGGTTACCACTGTAGAGATTCCTCAGTTTATTATTTTTTGTTATTACTAATATGGGCTTCATAAATTAGATATGTATTTCAAATTATGAGAAAACTTATCTCATTATTGTGAGAGATGTTTTAGTATATGATGAAAACATCCTTGCTCTCGTAGTCTATCAGGTAACTGAACCTGAGACATGCTGAGACTCTTGGCCCCTCAGAAGCATGTGGTTTCTGAGGCTGATAAATAAAATCACACTGGATATTTTTACTTGTGTTAAATCTTTCTATCATGCTACTGTACTTTTTCAGCCAAAGCAGGAGCAACTGTTGTACCCCCACGGCCAAATCTCTTCAACCAGCCACCCCCTGTTCATGGTGGTAGTGGAATTGGTGTACCAGAACAACCTCCCAACCAGATTCTTTTCCTGACAAATCTTCCAGATGAAACCTCTGAAATGATGTTGTCCATGCTTTTCACACAGTAAGTCCTATTGTTTTAACCCTTTGAGGGTTTCGGCCGTACTAGTACGGCTTACGACCCAGGGTTTTTGACGTACTAGTACGCCTAAATTCTAGCGCCTTCAGATCTAGTGGGAGAAAACTGGTAGGCATACATGTGAAAGAATGGGTCTATGTGGTCAGTGTATGCAGTATAAAAAAATCCTACAACACACAGTGCATAATGAGAAAAAAAAACTTTGACCGTGTTTTTGGAATAAAACAGCGACTTTGCACTGTATTTTCGTATGGTATTTATTGTTGTATTCTAGTTTTCTTGGTCTCATTTTATAGAATGGAAGACATATTACAGAAATTGAGATGATTTTGACTGGTTTTACAATGAAAAGTACCTTGAAATTGAGCTCAAAGTAGCAGAAATGTTTGATGTTTACCAAAGTTCAAAAGTAAACAAATCATGCCAAGCGTCCAATACACGTCAACTGGTGAGTCTAATATTCTTTCACAAGTGCGCTGATATTATTTATACCATTTCTACACTAATGCAGCAGTCTGCATAACAGTAGATCATCTGTTTTTCGTAAGAATAAAAATTGAAAGTGGAAAGCCAAAGAAATATAAGAGGGGCCTGGGGATGTGGCTGACGAACAGAGGAAATGTTATTTTAGTGCCAGGAATGTCTTTCTTGTTTATTCTGGACCCTATTTGGAAATTGGCATCTTTTGAAATTTGTTTGAAATTGGCAAAATTGCTAAATTCTGACCACTGTATTGGATAGCTCGTCATGGCCACGCTAGCTGGGGATTCATCTGTAAAAACTTGCATTTGTGGTCACAGTGGTGCCTATGCTAACCTTCCTATGGTGTAGAAATATACCTAGTTGGATGAATCTTATTGTGGCTAGCTGGTCCAGTGGCTAACGCGACGGTCTGGAGTTTTGAGACTCTCTGATCGCTGGTTCTATCCCCACCCGTGGTATGGTTTGTTTGCAATCATGTCATTACGATTTCATGAGTCATGTTTACGGCTTTGAGGGGACTTGAGCTAGAGTTCGTCACGGCCACGCTAGCTGGAGATTCGTCTGTAAAAACTTGCATTTGTGGTCACAGTGGTGCCTATGCTAACCTTCCTATGGTGTAGAAATATACCTAGTTGGACGAATCTTATTGTGGCTAGCTGGTCCAGTGGCTAACGCGACGGTCTGGAGTTTTGAGACTCTCTGATCGCGGGTTCTATACCCGCCCGTGGTATGGTTTATTTGCAATCGTGTTATTATGATTTTGTGAGTCACCACTATGCTCTCATACATTCCCTTCTTTGCCTCCTTGGATAACATCTGATAATTATACCTATGTGTACCTGTACCTAAATATACTTACTCACTGTTCTGGCATGCAGGTACATATTAAAATCACTAAGAGTTTCTCTAATCTTGACGCCATATAGTCTCTTGGGCGTAACATATAAACATGATACATATACCCAAAGTATAAAAATTGGCCTAAATATGAGATATGTTTGCCAAACGGTTGGTGGGAGGATCGGAAGAATTACGTTTTCTCTGGTCAAAGCCCAGTAAACTTAACTAGAAATTTATTCCTTTTGTATGCCTTCACTCTATCTATAGCTGTTCACGACCCTTGTGGGTTTAGCACTTCTTTTTTATTATGCTTCTATAACTTATAATAATAATAACTTGGACTTCCAGCATGTGTGCATGAGTGTGTTAGAGGGGAGTGAATGGAGACAAATGGTTTTTGGGACCTGACGAGCTGTTAGTCTGAGCAGGGTAATATTTAGTGAAGGAATTCAGGGAAACCGGTTATTTTTACATAGCCGGACTTGAGTGCTGGAAATGGGAAGTACAGTGCCTGCACTTTAAAGGAGGGGTTTGAGATATTGGCAGTTTGGAGGGATATGTTGTGTATCTTTATACGTATATGCTTCTAAACTGTTGTATTCTGAGCACCTCTGCAAAAACACTGATTATGATGTGAGTGAGGTGAAAGTGTTGAATGATAATGAAAGTATTTTCGTTTTGGGGATTTTCTTTCTTTTTGGGTCACCCTCCCTAGGTGGGAGACGGCTGACTTGTTGAAAAAAAATAACAACTTATAATAATAATAATTTTTTTTTTTTTTTCAACAAGTCGGCCGTCTCCCACCGAGGTCGGGTGACCCAAAAAAAGAAAGAAAATCCCCAAAAAGAAAATACTTTCATCATCATTCAACACTTTCACCACACTCGCACATTATCACAGTTTTTGCAGAGGTGCTCAGAATACACAGTTTAGAAGCATACACATATAAAGATACACAACATATCCCTCCAAACTGCCAATATCCCAAACCCCTCCTTTAAAGTGCAGGCATTGTACTTCCCATTTCCACCACTCAAGTCCGACTATATGAAAACCGGTTTCCCTGCATCCCTTCACTAAATATTACCCTGCTCACACTCCAACAGATCGTCAGGTCCCAAGTACCATTCGTCTCCATTCACTCCTATCTAACACGCTCACGCACGCTTGCTGGAAGTCCAGGCCCCTTGCCCACAAAACCTCCTTTACCCCCTCTCTCCAACCCTTTCGAAGACGACCCCTACCCCGCCTTCCTTCCCCTATAGATTTATATGCTTTCCATGTCATTCTACTTTGATACATTCTCTCTAAATGACCAAACCACCTCAACAACCCCTCTTCTGCCCTCTGACTAATACTTTTATTAACTCCACACCTTTTCCTAATTTCCACACTCCAAATTTTCTGCATAATATTTACACCACACATTGCCCTTAAACAGGACATCACTGCCTCCAACCGTCTCCTCGCTGCTGCATTTACGACTCCACATATACCTCAACGCACCACTCACATTTTTTCCCTCATCAATTCTATGATTAACCTCATCCTTCATAAATCCATCCGCTGACACGTCAACTCCCAAGTATCTGAAAACATTCACTTCTTCCATACTCCTCTCCCCAATTTGATATCCAATTTTTCTTTATCTAAATCATTTGATACCCTCATCACCTTACTCTTTTCTATGTTCACTTTCAACTTTCTACCTTTACACACATTCCCAAACTCATCCACTAACCTTTGCAATTTTTCTTTAGAATCTCCCATAAGCACAGTATCATCAGCAAAAAGCAACTGTGTCAGTTCCCAATTTGAATTTGATTCCCCAAAATTTAATCCTACCCCTCTCCCGAACACCCTAGCATTTACTTTTTTTACAACCCCATCTATAAATATATTAAACAACCATGGTGACATTACACATCCCTGTCTAAGACCTACTTTTACTGGGAAGTAGTCTCCCTCTCTTCTACACACCCTAACCTGAGCCTCACTATCCTCATAAAAACTCTTTACAGCATTTAATAACTTACCACCTATTCCATATACTTGCAACATCTGCCACATTGCTCCTCTATCCACTCTATCATATGCCTTTTCTAAATCCATAAATGCAATAAAAACTTCCCTACCTTTATCTAAATACTGTTCACATATATGCTTCAATGTAAACACTTGATCTACACATCCCCTACCCGCTCTGAAACCTCCTTGCTCATCCGCAATCCTACATTCTGTCTTACCTCTAATTCTTTCAATTATAACCCTACCGTACACTTCCTGGTATACTCAGTAAACTTATTCCTCTATAATTTTTACAGTCTCTTTTTGTCCCCTTTCCCTTTATATAAAGGGACTATACATGCTCTCTGCCAATCCCTAGGTACCTTCCCCTCTTTCATACATTTATTAAACAAAAGTACCAACCACTCCAACACTATATCCCCCCCTGCTTTTAACATTTCTCTCATGATCCCATCAGTTCCAGCTGCTTTACCCCCTTTCATTCTATGTAATGCCTCACGTACCTCCCCCACACTTAGATTCTGCTCTTCTTCACTCCTAAAAGATGGTATACTTCCCTGACCAGTGCATGAAATTACTGCCTCTCTTTCTTCTTTAACATTTAAAAGTTCCTCAAAATATTCTTGCCATCTACCTAATACCTCCATCTCCCCATCTACTAACTCCCCTACTCTGTTTTTAACTGACAAATCCATACTTTCCCTAGGCTTTCTTAACTTGTTTAGCTCACTCCAAAATTTTTTATTATTTTCATTAAAATTTCTTGACAGTGCCTCTCCCACTCTATCATCTGCTCTCCTTTTGCACTCTCTCACCACTCTCTCTACCTTTCTTTTACTCTCCATATACTCTGCTCTTCTTAAAACACTTCTGCTTTGTAAAAACCTCTCATAAGCTACCTTTTTCTCTTTTATCACACCCTTTACTTCATCATTCCACCAATCACTCCTCTTTCCTCCTGCCCCCACCCTCCTATAACCACAAACTTCTGCCCCACATTCTATTACTGCATTTTTAAAACTATTCCAACCCTCTTCAACCCCCCACTACTCATCTTTGCACTAGCCTACCTTTCTGCCAATAGTCGCTTATATCTCACCTGAACTTCCTCCTCCCTTAGTTTATACACTTTCACCTCCCTCTTACTTGTTGTTGCCACCTTCCTCTTTTCCCATCTACCTCTTACTCTAACTGTAGCTACAACTAAATAATGATCCGATATATCAGTTGCCCCTCTATAAATATGTACATCCTGGAGCCTACCATCAACCTTTTATCCACCAATACATAATCTAATAAACTACTTTCATTACGTGCTACATCATACCTTGTATATTTATTTATCCTCTTTTTCATAAAATATGTATTACTTATTACCAAATCTCTTTCTACACATAGCTCAATTAAAGGCTCCCTATTTACATTTACCCCTGGCACCCCAAATTTACCTACTACTTCCTCCATAACATTTTTACCCACTTTAGCATTGAAATCCCCAACCACCATTACTCTCACACTTGATTCAAAACTCCCCACGCATTCACTCAACATTTCCCAAAATCTCTCTCTCTCCTCTACACTTCTCTCTTCTCCAGATGCATACACGCTTATTATAACCCACTTTTCACATCCAATCTTTATTTTACTCCACATAATCCTTGAATTAATACATTTATAGTCCCTCTTTTCCTGCCATAGCTTATCCTTCAACATTATTGCTACTACTTCTTTAGCTCTAATTCTATTTGAAACCCCTGACCTAATCCCATTTATTCCTCTCCATTGAAACTCTCCCACCCCCTTCAGCTTTGTTTCACTTAAAGCCAGGACATCCAGCTTCTTCTCATTCATAACATCCACAATCATCTCTTTCTTATCATTTGCACAACATCCACGCACATTCAGACTTCCCACTTTGACAATTTTCTTCTTATTCTTTTTAGTAATCTTTACAGGAAACGGGGTTACTAGCCTATTGTTCCCGGCATTTTAGTTGACTTTTACAACACGCATGGCTTACGGAGGAAAGATTCTTATTCCACTTCCCCATGGATATAAAAGGAAAAGTAATAAGACCAAGAACTGTTAAGATAAAATCAAAGAAAACTCAGATGAGTGTGTATAAAATGTGTACATGTATGTGTAGTGTGACCTAAGTGTAAGTAGAAGTAGCAAGACATACCTGTAATCTTGCATATTTATGAGACAGACAAAAGACATCAGCAATCCTACCATCATGTAAAACAATCACAGGCTTTCGTTTTACACTCACTTGGCAGGACGGTAGTACCTCCCTGGGTGGTTGCTGTCTACCAACCTACTACCTATAAATAATAATAACTTGCAATAATAACAACAACTTGTAATAATAATAATAATAATTTGTCAGAACATCATTCCTTCTAAAAATTACATGAGAATGAAAGTGTTGGTCTTTATTTACACATACTGCTGGCATGCAGGTACACAGTAAAATCATTAAGAGTGCCCCTCTAGTCTAATGTCACAGTAATACTAATAGTTTTTTTTTTTTTTTTTTCCCCCAACAAGTCGGTCGTCTCCCACCAAGGCAGGGTGACTCAAAAAAAAAGAAAGAAAATCCCCAAAAAGAAAATACTTTCATCATCATTCAACACTTTCACCACACTCACACATTATCACTGCTTTTGCAGAGGTGCTCAGAATACAACAGTTTAGAAGCATATACGTATAGAGATACACAACATATCCCTCCAAACTGCCAATATCCCAAACCCCTCCTTTAAAGTGCAGGCATTGTACTTCCCATTTCCAGGACTCAAGTCCGACTATATGAAAATAACCGGTTTCCCTGAATCCCTTCACTAAATATTACCCTGCTCACACTCCAACAGATCGTCAGGTCCCAAGTATCATTCGTCTCCATTCACTCCTATCTAACACGCTCATGCACGCTTGCTGGAAGTCCAAGCCCCTCACCCACAAAACCTCCTTTACCCCCTCTTTCCAACCCTTTCGAGGACGACCCCTACCCCTCTTTCCTTCCCCTATAGATTTATATGCTTTCCATGTCATTCTACTTTGATCCATTCTCTCTAAATGACCAAACCACCTCAACAACCCCTCTTCTGCCCTCTGACTAATGCTTTTATTAACTCCACACCTTCTCCTAATTTCCACACTCCGAATTTTCTGCATAATATTTACACCACACATTGCCCTTAGACAGGACATCTCCACTGCCTCCAACCGTCTCCTCGCTGCTGCATTTACCACCCAAGCTTCACATCCATATAAGAGTTTTGGTACTACTATACTTTCATACATACCCTTCTTTGCCTCCATAGATAACGTTTTTTGACTCCACATATACCTCAATGCACCACTCACCTTTTTTCCCTCATCAATTCTATGATTAACCTCATCCTTCATAAATCCATCCGCCGACACGTCAACTCCCAAGTATCTGAAAACATTCACTTCTTCCATACTCCTCCTCCCCAATTTGATATCCAATTTTTCTTTATCTAAATCATTTGATACCCTCATCACCTAATACTAATAGTACATAATAATAATCACTCTTGGGCACCTTAAATGTCTTATGTTAATATAGACATTTTCATTAATCCATCTATGATATTTTCTTCAAAATTATATAAGAAACATGTTACATAGCATATAAACATGCTGTTTATATGCCGGGCGGAAGGAAAAAATACGTTTTCTCCAGTCCAACACCAAAGAAAATGTGTGTGAATCTTCATTTGACCTAGTCACTCCCCCACTCCGCTTTTGTTTACAATTCTCGGCATGAATTATTCATTACTCCTCCCTTCATTTTTGATGGCATCTAAAGGTAGTTGTTAGAAACGATTAAATTCAGTGAACAAAGTACAGCAGGGCCCCGCTTTACGGCGTTTCACTTTACAGCGTTCCGCTAATACGGTCATTTCAAATTATGATCAAAACTCGCTGTACGGCTCCCCCCACCTGACTTTCTAATACGGTCACCGCGCCCCACCCTGTTTGTTTACATTCTTCGTGAGCTCAGTAAGCACTAAGTCTCTCCATTTTGTCTGGAAACTCCAAAATTTCAAATGTTTTTAAAAGTTATTTCATATTTTATATATACTCTGATAATTATACTTATGTATACCTGTACTTAAATAAACTTACATACTGTGCTGGCATGCAGGTACACATTAAAATCAGTAAGAGTGTCTTATGTCTCCAGACGTTATATTAGTAATGATAATAATAATCATCGAGTCTCATTTAAATGTCGTATATTACGTTAAATACACATTTTCGTTAATCCATCTATGATATTTTTTCAAAATTATATAATAAACACGATACATAACATAAAAAGATGATAAATACATCCCACAATAGAATAAATAAACATAAATATGAGATGTGGTAGCCAGATAACTTGTACAAGTGATGCCAAGAATAACATTTTCTCTAATCTAACATAAGAGAAAATGTTTTACTGGGGGTAACTGTAGAAAATTATTCCTTTTGTATGTAAGTAAGTAAGTTTATTCAGGTATACACAAATGCAGTTACATAGATTATCATACATAGCAACATATGTGTAGAGAACCTAGGATAACCCAAAAAAGTCAGAGTGACTTATTTCCATTGCCTTCACTCAGAGCATCATTTCTTCTCAAAATGATGTTACATGAGAATGGGAGTGTTCTTCTTTATTTATTCTACCGTATCAATGTAGAGACAACCTGTACACAATGTAACTTGTACACAAACCAGACGTGTACACTTTGTTTACAAAACTTACCTTCGCCTGGTTTGTTTACATAACTCTGCGCCTGTCCTCTCTCATGCACTCATTCTTTCTCTCTCTCATTTATTCGTTTTATCTCATTTACTTACTCCTGACCCTACATTAAGACTACAAATATTTTAAGGTAAGTAATGAGTGAACTGTATATACATTTTATCGCTCTGGGATGCTTAAATATCATAGAATATATGTGTGGGTGGGTTGGCCTGATATGGTAGCCCGGCTGACTACCATACATACCACACTTGATTTTTTACAATAAATACTACTCATCTCACCCTATATTTTAAGGTAAGTAATGAGTGAACTGTATATACATTTTATCGCTCTGGGATGCTTAAATATCATAGAATTGTATGTGTGGGTGGTGTGGCCTGGTAAGGTAGCCTGGCTGATTACCATACATACCACACTTGATTTCTTACAATAAATACTACTTGTCTCACCCTAGATTAAGACTATAAATATTTTAAGGTAAGTAATGAGTGCACTATGTGTGTATTGTACTTTTTTATTGTTTTTTGATGCCTGGTTCTATTGCTAACTTAATATATGTTAGTGTAAACTTGTTATCTAGTGTTTGTATGCATTTGTAAGTGGAAAAAAAGGGTGTTCCACTTTACGGCGGTAGCCTGGAACCTAACCAGCCGTGTAAGTGGGGCCCTACTGTATGTTGATGGTAATAATATGGCTCTGCACCACTGAGTAGATAGCCTGTAGGTGTAGCCCAGGCTACACCTACTGGCTACCTACACTGACTTCCTACAAATAAATACCACTCAACTCTCATCCAACATTGACGACACATATTTTAACCCTTAAACTGCCCAAACGTAGATCTACGTTTTTTCAGCATTTGAAAGTATGTAAAAAAAGGTAGATTTTTTTTTTTTTTTTTACATTTGAAAACGTGTAAAAAAACTTTGATATCTTTTTTTTTATATGTAAAAGAAACGTAGTAGGTCTACTTTTGGAGCACTACGCATGTGAACGTAGATCTGCTTGGACAGTTTAAGGGTTGAAGTAAGTAATGAGTATACTGTATATGTATTGTATCTCTGGGCTGCTTTAAATATCATATACATTAAGTTTGGGATGGGGAGCCAGGTCTGCCTACATCTGACTTCCTACAAATTAATACTACTCACCTCTTGCCCTACATTAATAAGACTGCAAATATTTTAAGGTAAGTAATGAATGTACTGTGTATGTATTTTACTTTTTATTGTGTTTTCTAATGCCTAGTTCTATTAATAACTTTTGCATTGTGCACTTACTTTGTTACTCTTTCTTCTGCCATGTGGTAAGGAATGATATTTAAGGTATAAGGGTTGATGTTGGGTAAGCATGAAAATTTTTTAGTGACATGTAATAAATATAAAATAACCTCTTTTCAGGTTTCCTGGCTTTAAGGAAGTACGTCTTGTCCCTGGCCGGCACGATATTGCCTTTGTTGAGTTTGAGAATGAAATGCAGTCTGCAGCAGCAAAAGATGCTTTGCAAGGTTTCAAGATTACACCAACTCATTCCATGAAAATTGCTTTTGCAAAGAAGTGAGGTGAATGTAGCTATGTTTATTTGGCATGCATTGAAATATTATCTTGCACCTGGGTGAAATTAACATTATCAAAATGGCTCCAATTTTCAGGATATTTATATACTATGACTAGAAATTTGATGGTTTGGTAATGTATTATTTGAATTACAAACTGTGTTGTACCTGAAAATGTCATTTGCTGTATGATCATATGGAATGACAAACTTATGAAAATGGAGAGTGCCAGCAGACATATTTGTTTCTATTGTAATTAAAAACTTTTATGATCAGGGATGATAATTTTACACTTCTAAGTGTATGTTTGTAATCCAGATTTCTTTGCTTATACAAACACACACAAAAATATGCTTTAAACATCATCCCTAATGTGACGTTACATCTGATATTTAGAAAATACTTATTACCGATTAACAAGTCACTAATTTTTTATAGTGTATTGATAATAAAGCAGAATACTTTGGAAAAGCATATTTTATGGTCCTATGCAAGAATTCCCCTCACGGAAGGTTCCTTGATGTTGGTGAGGGGCTCTTGGTTTAGGGAATTGGATCTGTGCTCCAGTTCCCCGAATGCCTTCCACATCCCCCCCCAGGCGCTGTATAATCCTACGGGTCTAGCGCTTCCCCCTTGATTGTAATAATAATATTCAAGAATTTAGTGCTTTCTTTGAACATAAGTCATGTTCCTATTTAACCTTGGTAGAGATGTGTTTCCTCTATATGACTATGCATGAATGATCATGTTTATAACAGTGCATGGCATTTTTACTATTATATTTATTCAGAATTTATATACCTGAAGGGGGTTGTTGCATTTTCATGTTTGATATAATATTACAGTGCAGCTGTGCAGTACAAGCTCCCTCAAAAAAAATTATCTAAAGGCACATTTTCCTGACAACCCCTAACATGACTCGAGGTCATTTTTACATAGGAATCCATGCATGGGCGACCAGTGTCAAGCAGTCTATGGACAAAGCTGGATCATCTTTGTGGCGAGTGGTGTGAAAAAAAAAAGTTTTCAATGTAGAGTTCATTAATGTAATATGTTTAGGCTTAAGGATATAATGTGCAAGATATAAGTCAGCAGTTACACTGGTCAGAGGATGGTACACAGTGTATGTATATTGAACATCGTAAACAAAGTTGTCACTTGATTTTGACACCAGTAGCTGACTAAATTTATTTTTTTAGCACTCCACCATCTCCCACTGAGGTATGGTGACCTGACAGAGGAAAACACGCTGTCACTTTCAATCAGTCTTGCTTGAAGGGTGTTGACATGACAGTTTAGATGACCATAGCAGTCACACCCACTCCTTCAGAGTGCAGGCACTGTACTTCCTGCCTCCAGGACTCCAGCCTGGCTAACCAGCTTACCGAATTCCTTCATGTTGCCTGGCTCACACTCCAGCACATGAAATTATGAAACCCACTTCCCCCTTCCCCTCAAGGAAAGCTCCTTTATGCTGGTGAAGAGTTCTTGCTCTTGGAAATTGGATCTGTGCTCTAGTTCCCTCAATTAAGCCTGAATGCCTTCCACATCCCCCACAGGCACTGTATAATCCCTATGGGTATAGCACTCCCCCATGATGATAATTCCACTTGCTCCTATCTAACATGCTCACAAGTTTTCAGTTTATTATGCACCCCATACCCATCCTGTGGGCGGTAGTCAAAAGATTACAGAGGTACATAATTGGTCCAGGGACTGGACTCCAAAGTTTTGATAGCTGAGCAAGTTACAAAGGTAATGAACTAGATCTCACAAGCCTGGTGGATGTCCAAACCCCTCATATACAAAACCTTTTTTGCCCCCCCTCCCTCCAACCTTTCTTCATAATAATAATATATGTATTTAAAAACTAAACCCAAACAGGAAATACAGCAACCAACCTTTCCTAGGAAGTCCCCTACCCCTGCTTTCCCTCCACCCTTGATTTATATGCCCTCCAAGTCATCCTATTTTTCTCCATCCTCTCAATGTCCCAATCACCTCAACACACACAGTGAATAATACTTTTGGTTACTCCATACCTCCTAATACTCCAAATTCTCTGCATAATGTTCCTGTTACCCTCAAATACTGCCTCCAGCATCCTCCTATACTTGGGTACATTTCCCATTTTTTTGCTTCCATGAATTGCGATCTTTGTCTCAGATGCCTCGGTGCACCACCCACCTTTTACCCATTGTCATTTCAGTGGTTCACCTCGCTTGTTATTCAAGATACAGTGGACCCCTGCCTTACGATGGCATCGCGTTAAGTTAAATCCGCCATACAATACATTTTAATGCAAAAATTTTGCCTTGCCTCACGCTAAAAAACTCGCCTTACGTGATTCGTCCTGGACGCGTCCCACGTTTGGCCTCAGGTCCAGTGTTTACAAGCCAGCCAGTGCAGTCGCATCCACGCATACATTCGGTACATTTCACCTTATCCCAGTGTTTTTTGTGCTTGTAACTGCAAAATAAGTTACCATGGGCCCCAAGAAAGCTTCTAGTGCCAACCCTGTGGTAAAAAGGGTGAGAATTAGTATGGAAATTAAGAAAGATTTTGAAGGGTTTGGGGCTAACTCTGAGAAGCCTATGCCAGTTGTGGAATCCATTGTGCCTGCTTCAAAGATTAAGGAAATGTGTGCAAAGTGGGTTGAAGTACAAACCTTTATGGATGAAAATCATCCTAACACAGCTATTGCAAGCTGTGCTGGTGACTTACAATGACAATGTTGTGGCCCATTTTAGGCAAATCTTAAAGGAACGGGAGGTACAGACCTCTATGGACAGATTTGTTGTGCGACAGAGGTCCAGAAGGGAAGTAACCCCAGAAAAGGACTTGCTACCTCAAGTCCTAATGGAAGGGGATTCCCCTTCGGGGTGTCTTGCACGGATTAATTTGATTTCCATTATTTCTTATGGGGAAAATTAATTCGCCTTACGATAATTTTGGCTTACGTTGAGCTCTCAGGAACAAATTAATATCGTAAGGCGGGGATCCACTGTATTTAAGAAGTGATCTCTATTTTAATAGGATTAGTATTATTAACATAAGGTAACAAGTTTAAAATCTTAGTTTTTTATAATATAGAGTATAATGTATTAAGTGTTACATATATATCTGCTTTCTGAGTGGACGTTGTGTTGGAGTGAGAGGACCCTAAGACTTCTAAGGGAATAAATACCCCTTAGGGAAGGTTTCTTAATGCCAGTAAGAGGCTCTTTATCCAATGAATTTGGCCTGACCTCCCCTTCCTAGGATCGAGCTCCAATGCCTCCCATTCCCTAAGCAATGTGAGAGACTAACGAGTTTAGCAATTCCTCAAAATGTAATAGTAATTGTACTATGCTGACTATTCAGATTTTAATTTCAATTTAAATTACTTCAGTAAACCTGGGCGACTTTAACCCTTTTAGGGTCAGGACCCCTACTCAAACTTGCTCTCAGTGTTGGAAAATATAAAAAAAAAATTATTTTTTATTATGAAATAGTAGAGAATCTTTTTCTGGAGGTAATAAAACAAAAAGTACAAAATTTGATGGAAAACTGATGAAATTACACTTTCATAAAACTTTGCTGTGTCAGCAATATTTACGCATCGTGATTTTGCAGAATTTTAGGCCAGTTATGTTGTTCCAGTCAACCAGATTCTTGGCTATTTCACTAGTATGCCTAACATTCTATTGATTGAGTACAAAAAACTGCCCATTCAACTATTTCAATTACCCAATAAAGTGATCAGAAAATGGTAATTTGGCCAATTTCACACAATATTCAAGAAATACCTGTTTCAAAAAAGGACCCTGAATAAACAATGTGGACATTCCTGTCACTAAAATAACATTTTCTCAGTTCATCAGTTACATCCCCAGGCTTTCCAATATTACACACCCCTCAAGGGAGGTTCCTTGACGTTGGTGAGGGGCTCTTGCTCTAGGGAATTGGATCTGTGCTCCAGTTCCCTGAATTGAGTCTGAATGCCTTCCACCCCCTCCCTCCACATGCACTGTATAATGTTAGTGCATTTGTAAATGCAGATGGTTACATATTGGACGAGTGACGTCATTTGTGTACTCTGGAATATCGGCAAAAATTGAACATTTCCACTACTTTGAGCTCACTTTGAAGCTACTTTCAGTCATGAACCAGTCAAAATCATTTCCATTTCTGTAAAATATCTTCCATTCTATCAAATGAATCCAAGAATCCTAGAATACACCCATAAAAAAACATACGATAATACACTGCAAAGTCAATGTTTTAAACTAAAAACACAGTTGCAGATTTTTTTATACCCATTATGCACTGTTTGCTGCAGGATTTTTTTATATGGTGTACTCTTATCGTATATCTTCTCTCATATCTAGGCCCAAATTTACTGCTCACAGTTTATCTGAGTGAGCTGAGCTCATGGCACAGAACTACAAGACTGACCCAGGCTTCCTAGCCATAGTACAGTGGTAACTCGAGTTTCGAACAGCTCCCAACTCAAACAATTATGTAAGTGTATTTTTGCAAGTTTTTTGTAATTGTATTTTTGGGGGTCTGAAAAGGACTAATCTAATTTACATCATTCCTTATGGGAACAAATTCGTTCGGTATTGGCACTCAAACAGCCTTCTGGAACAAATTAAGTTCATAACTCGAGGTACCATTGTACTACGGGACAAACCCTTAAAGGGTTATTAATGAAGATCTCAGAAAAAGTGAAGTTATGATAAAGAAAAATATTTCAGCATCTCATGGGTGAAAATTTATTATTGTTCATCTTGGAAATAAATCAATACATGTACACGTAAAATGTACGACTATGAATATGAACTCTTCATGAGGGGTACTTTGATACCAAAGGGCTCCTGCTCCAAGAAATTGGAGCTACCCTCCCCCTCCTCAGATTAAACCTGATTCTCCCATTCCCAAGGCATTGCTTGACCCCTCACATTCCCATGAATATAATAATACAAAGAATGTTATCCATGGAAGCAGAGGAGAATGTATGAGTATAGTGGTACCAACGCTCTTATATGGGTGTGAAGCATGGATGGTGAATGTTGTAACAATGAGAAGGCTGGAAGCAGTGGAGATGTGGTGTGATTATGCAGAGAATCCATAGCTTGGAGATTAGAAGGAAATGCAGGGTTTCTAAAAGTATTATCTAGAGGGTTGAGGAGGGGTTGTTGAGGTGGTTCAGACATTCAGAGAAGATGGATCAAAATATAATGACTTGGAGGACATATAAAGCTGTAGCCGAGGGAAGGGGTAAAGGAGGTTTTGTGTGCAAGGAGCTTTGAGTTTCAGCAGGCATGCATGAGCGTGTTAGGAGAGAAAGAGAGAGTGGAAGCAAGTAGTTTTTATTACTTGACGTCCTGTTGAAGTGTGAGCAAAGTAACATTTGTAGTGGGAAACCAGTTAACCAAACTTGAGTTCTGGAGGTGGGAGGTACAGTGCCTGTGCTCTGAAAGAGGGGTTTGATGTTGTGATTTTTGTTAACTATATAGTGTCAGCATGCCTCTGGCAAGACAGTGATGGAGTGAGTGACGAAATTTTTTCTTTTTTGGGGTCACCCTGCCTCGGGAGGAAACGGCCAATGTATTAATAAAAAAAAATACAAACAAGAAAAGTTGAAAGATGAAAACAACTTTGGTGTTTATTAAGTTTAAACACATCTTTGGAGGAACTTGAAAGAATCACATGTCCAGTGACTGACTTTTGACTTTTAAAGTTAATTGTTCTTTAATTACATCTCGCATTGTACAAGACAATTTACTTTTTTCACGGGGTTCCTTTGATTCTGGTAAAGGGTTTTTGATCTAAGGAATTGAACCTATTCTTTGAATCAAGTCTGAATACCTTATATTTTGCAGGTGCTGTATGACCCATACAGGTTTAGCACTCTCCTTGACTAATAATAATCCATTCATTGGAGTGCTAAATCAGTAGGGGTCACATAATGCCTTGGAAATGGGAGGAAGACTTAATTCATGAGAGGATGGATTTAATTCCATGAAGGTAACACTCTTGAGGGGACTAGGCCTGGTAAACTATTTTATTATGAAAATAGTTTGATTAACACTGTAAAAGGTAAGAGATAAGAGCACTAGTAGGACTACTAGCCCATGTTACTCACTCCTTACTTAATCTAAAGAACTGACTTTAATAACGTAGTTGATTGCTACAAGCTGCCAACTGCTAACTCTGCCAAGCCTGTGCCTAAAACTAGGCACCATAATATGGAGTACACTATATCTGCTAAAGTGTTTATTCTACAGAACAATACCCCTCAAGGAAGGTTCCTTGATGTTGGTGAGGGGCTCTTGATTTAGGGAATTGGATCTGTGCTCCAGTTCCCCGAATTAAGCCTGAATGCCTTCCCCCCCCCCCCAGGCGCTGTATAATCCTCCGGGTTTAGTGCTTCCCCTTGATTATAATAATAATAATACAGAACAAATAACATTTTGCACAAGGTATCTAAATATTTCTAGATAAAATGCAGATGATAATATAGGTAGATAAAATCCACTGCATAAAATTTATGATACATAAACCAAGTAAATTATGATGTATAATAAACATACAGTAGTACATTAAATTTTGTTAAAATCCAATTAATGAGCTTAAATGTCTTTAGCTTATACATAAATCTGTAATGCTGTTTTATTAATTCACTTAAGATTACATAAATAAAACCCTTTAAGGAATGTGCCTTGATTCTAGTAAAGGGCTCTTGAGCCAAGGAATTAAAGCCACCTTCCTCTTCCTTGGGTCAAACCTGATTGCCTCCTGTTTTATAGGTGCTGTATGATTCTTAAGAGTTTAGCACTTTCCCATAAAAATAATATAAATGAAACAATAATGAACACTAAGTACCATAGTGTAAAGCATCTTGTAGACTACTGCATGACTAGAATACTTGTATTAAATAATTATTAAAGAACAAAGCACCTATGCAATTAAGTGTTATGCTCAGGGTAGCTTATTAGGGAGAATTAAATCTCCAGGTTTTCAAAATCCTACTGAGCCTGGAAAAAGTTAACAAGATGCTGAATACTGAGACTTCCATAGTTGTCCAGTATTTCCAGCAGCTGTGGTACACGACTCTTCACATTAACACCTTTGAACTTGTACTTGTCAATGAAAAGGTCAGTGATCATACCTGGAAAAAACACAAATCTGATTAAATTTGGCATTAATAAAGATATGATGTAGGGCGAAATGACAGTAGTTTGTTGGATTATGTATTGGTAGATAAAAGACTGTTGAGTAGACTTCAGGATGTACATGTTTATAGAGGGGCCACAGATATATCAGATCACTTTCTAGTTGTAGCTACACTGAGAGTAAAAGGTAGATGGGATACAAGGAGAATAGAAGCATCAGGGAAGAGAGAGGTGAAGGTTTATAAACTAAAAGAGGAGGCAGTTAGGGTAAGATATAAACAGCTATTGGAGGATAGATGGGCTAATGAGAGCATAGGCAATGGGGTCGAAGAGGTATGGGGTAGGTTTTTAAAAAAGTAGTGTTAGAGTGTTCAGCAGAAGTTTGTGGTTACAGGAAAGTGGGGTGCAGGAGGGAAGAGGAGCGATTGGTGGAATGATGATGTAAAGAGGTAGTAAGGGAGAAAAAGTTAGCATATGAGAAGTTTTTACAAAGTAGAAGTGATGCAAGGAGGGAAGAGTATATGGAGAAAAAGAGAGAAGTTAAGAGAGTGGTGAAGCAATGTAAAAAGAGAGCAAATGAGAGAGTGGGTGAGATGTTATCAACAAATTTTGTTGAAAATAAGAAAAAGTTTTGGAGTGAGATTAACAAGTTAAGAAAGCCTAGAGAACAAATGGATTTGTCAGTTAAAAATAGGAGAGGAGAGTTATTAAATGGAGAGTTAGAGGTATTGGGAAGATGGAAGGAATATTTTGAGGAATTGTTAAATGTTGATGAAGATAGGGAAGCTGTGATTTCGTGTATAGGGCAAGGAGGAATAACATCTTGTAGGAGTGAGGAAGAGCCAGTTGTGAGTGTGGGGGAAGTTCGTGAGGCAGTAGGTAAAATGAAAGGGGGTAAGGCAGCCGGGATTGATGGGATAAAGATAGAAATGTTAAAAGCAGGTGGGGATATAGTTTTGGAGTGGTTGGTGCAATTATTTAATAAATGTATGGAAGAGGGTAAGGTACCTAGGGATTGGCAGAGAGCATGCATAGTTCCTTTGTATAAAGGCAAAGGGGATAAAAGAGAGTGCAAAAATTATAGGGGGATAAGTCTGTTGAGTGTACCTGGTAAAGTGTATGGTAGAGTTATAATTGAAAGAATTAAGAGTAAGACGGAGAATAGGATAGCAGATGAACAAGGAGGCTTTAGGAAAGGTAGGGGGTGTGTGGACCAGGTGTTTACAGTGAAACATATAAGTGAACAGTATTTAGATAAGGCTAAAGAGGTCTTTGTGGCATTTATGGATTTGGAAAAGGCGTATGACAGGGTGGATAGGGGGGCAATGTGGCAGATGTTGCAAGTGTATGGTGTAGGAGGTAGGTTACTGAAAGCAGTGAAGAGTTTTTACGAGGATAGTGAGGCTCAAGTTAGAGTATGTAGGAAAGAGGGAAATTTTTTCCCAGTAAAAGTAGGCCTTAGACAAGGATGTGTGATGTCACCGTGGTTGTTTAATATATTTATAGATGGGTTGTAAGAGAAGTAAATGCGAGGGTCTTGGCAAGAGGCGTGGAGTTAAAAGATAAAGAATCACACACAAAGTGGGAGTTGTCACAGCTGCTCTTTGCTGATGACACTGTGCTCTTGGGAGATTCTGAAGAGAAGTTGCAGAGATTGGTGGATGAATTTGGTAGGGTGTGCAAAAGAAGAAAATTAAAGGTGAATACAGGAAAGAGTAAGGTTATGAGGATAACAAAAAGATTAGGTGATGAAAGATTGAATATCAGATTGGAGGGAGAGAGTATGGAGGAGGTGAACGTATTCAGATATTTGGGAGTGGACGTGTCAGCGGATGGGTCTATGAAAGATGAGGTGAATCATAGAATTGATGAGGGAAAAAGAGTGAGTGGTGCACTTAGGAGTCTGTGGAGACAGAGAACTTTGTCCTTGGAGGCAAAGAGGGGAATGTATGAGAGTATAGTTTTAACCAACGCTCTTATATGGGTGTGAAGCGTGGGTGATGAATGTTGCAGCGAGGAGAAGGCTGGAGGCAGTGGAGATGTCATGTCTGAGGGCAATGTGTGGTGTGAATATAATGCAGAGAATTCGTAGTTTGGAAGTTAGGAGGAGGTGCGGGATTACCAAAACTGTTGTCCAGAGGGCTGAGGAAGGGTTGTTGAGGTGGTTCGGACATGTAGAGAGAATGGAGCGAAATAGAATGACTTCAAGAGTGTATCAGTCTGTAGTGGAAGGAAGGCGGGGTAGGGTCGGCCTAGGAAGGGTTGGAGGGGGGGGTAAAGGAGGTTTTGTGTGCGAGGGGCTTGGACTTCCAGCAGGCATGCGTGAGCGTGTTTGATAGGAGTGAATGGAGACAAATGGTTTTTAATACTTGACGTGCTGTTGGAGTGTGAGCAAAGTAACATTTATGAAGGGATTCAGGGAAACCGGCAGGCCGGACTTGAGTCCTGGAGATGGGAAGTACAGTGCCTGCACTCTGAAGGAGGGGTGTTAATGTTGCAGTTTAAAAACTGTAGTGTAAAGCACCCTTCTGGCAAGACAGTGATGGAGTGAATGATGGTGGGAGTTTTTCTTTTTCGGGCCACCCTGCCTTGGTGGGAATCGGCCGGTGTGATAATAATAAAAAAAAAAAAAATATATATATATATAATTTTTTTTTTTTTTTTAACCCTTTGACTGTCGCAAGCCCCTTTCTGAAACTGTCACCCATGTCGAAAATTTTTGGAAAAAAAAAATTTTTCTTATGAAATAATAATCTTTTCCCGATGGTAATGACACCAAAAGTAAAAAATTTGATCGAAAACTTACAGAATTGTGCTCCCATGAAGTTAGCGATCTCGGCGATATATACGTATCGGCAATTTCGCCGACTTTGAGCCCTATTTTTGGCCAATTCCATTGTTTCAGTCAACCAAACTCATAGCTATTTCTTTAGAACTCCACTTTTTTCTATCAATTGAGTACAAGAAACTGCCCATTTACCAATTTCAACTACCCAATAAAGCAGTCAGAAATTGGCAGTTTGGCCAATTTCAAGCAAATTAAAAAAGATGCTAATTTCAAAATAGGGCACAGAATAAACAACGCAGACATTCTTGGTACTAAAATAACATATCCTCTGTTCATTAGTCATGTCTCTAGGCTCCTTTTGCTTTCTATTTTGATTTTTTATTCACACAAAAAAAAACAGAAGATTTACTGTTGTGCAGACTAATGCATTATTATAAAAATGATATAAATAATATCAGTGCACTAGTGAAAGAATATTAGACTCCCCAGTTGACGTGTATTGGACGTGTGGTGTGATCTGCTTACTCTTAACATTGGTAAAAAATCGAACATTTCCGTTATTTGAGCTCAATTTCAAGGTAGTTTTCATCATGAAACTAATCAAAATCATCTCTATTTCTGTAATATGTTTTCCATTCTATCAAATGAGATCAAGAAAATGAGAATACAGCCATAAATACTATACGAAAATATACCTCAAAGTCGGCGTTTTAATCCAAAAACACGGTCGGAGCTTCTTTTTTTTTCTGATTATGCACTGCGTGCTGCAGGATTTTTTTATACAGTGCACACTGACCATGCAGACCCATTCTCTCACATGTGGGCCTACCAGCTTTCTCCTGCTTGATTTGAAGCCGCTAGAATTTTTTTTTTTTCAACAAGTCGGCCGTCTCCCACCGAGGCAGGGTGACCCAAAAAAGAAAGAAAATCCCCAAAAAGAAAATGCTTTCATCATCATTCAACACTTTCATCACACTCACACATAATCACTGCTTTTGCAGAGGTGCTCAGAATACAACAGTTTAGAAGCATATACGTATAAAGATACACAACATATCCCTCCAAACTGCCAATATCCCAAACCCCTCCTTTAAAGTGCAGGCATTGTCCTTCCCATTTCCAGGACTCAAGTCCGACTATATGAAAATAACCGGTTTCCCTGAATCCCTTCACTAAATATTACCCTGCTCACACTCCAACAGATCGTCAGGTCCCAAGTACCATTCGTCTCTATTCACTCCTATCTAACACGCTCACGTATGCTTGCTGGAAGTCCAAGCCCCTTGCCCACAAAACCTCCTTTACCCCCTCTCTCCAACCCTTTCGAGGACGACCCCTACCTCGCCTTCCTTCCCCTATAGATTTATATGCTTTCCATGTCATTCTACTTTGATCCATTCTCTCTAAATGACCAAACCACCTCAACAACCCCTCTTCTGCCCTCTGACTAATACTTTTATTAACTCCACACCTTTTCCTAATTTCCACACTCCGAATTTTCTGCATAATATTTACACCACACATTGCCCTTAGACAGGACATCTCCACTGCCTCCAACCGTCTCCTCACTGCTGCATTTACCACCCAAGCTTCACACCCATATAAGAGTGTTGGTACTACTATACTTTCATACATTCCCTTCTTTGCCTCCATACATAACGTTTTTTGACTTCACATATACCTCAATGCACCACTCACCTTTTTTCCCTCATCAATTCTATGATTAACCTCATCCTTCATAAATCCATCCGCCGACACGTCAATTCCCAAGTATCTGAAAACATTTATTTCTTCCATACTCCTCCTCCCCAATTTGATATTCAATTTTTCTTTATCTAAATCATTTGATACCCTCATCACCTTACTCTTTTCTATGTTCACTTTCAACTTTCTACCTTTACACACATTCCCAAACTCATCCACTAACCTTAGCAATTTTTCTTTAGAATCTCCCATAAGCACAGTATCATCAGCAAAAAGTAACTGTGTTAATTCCCATTTTGAATTTGATTCCCCATAATTTAATCCCATCCCTCTCCCAAACACCCTAGCATTTACTTCTTTTACAACCCCATCTATAAATATATTAAACAACCATGGTGACATTACACATCCCTGTCTAAGACCTACTTTTACCGGGAAGTAGTCTCCCTCTCTTCTACACACCCTAACCTGAGCCTCACTATCCTCATAAAAACTCTTTACAGC